AGCTCAACGTTCAATGTTCTTCAATATTAGATAATGCGAATTTTCGTAGATTTTCGTTACAAGACAATTGAGAGGCGATATCTATGATCCTGTCACAGAACAGATTCAATAAAATTTGTTTTTATTCATATTATTTATACTAGCCTAATTCTCAGAGAATAGAGAAGAGAATCGGAAGAGGAAGACAGACAGGGCAGACACACATCAGGAAAAAAAAATAGAAACGGAACGAGAAGAAAAGAGAAGAAAAGCAGACAACTCGACAAACATGGTAGGTGCTAGCTATAGTGCGAGGGAAGAGGACGAGACGATGGACGGGATGGGATGATATTGTACGGTTGTATGTACTGAACACAAGGGTTCAAAGGGAAGAGCGATGGGGATGAGCCTGAATATAATATATTTCAATCAGTGTCATAATAGCGGGCACGACGGGTAAGAGTATGCAGATAGAATTTAAAGAGGAAACGGAAGGATTTGGGATTCAGAAAGGTCAGACGAGGACGTAGAACGAGATGATTTACAATATGGGAAGATAAAAAAAATGAAAGGGTATATTGTGTGTCCTGTTTGACCTCCATAAACACTTCAACCATGCCTGGATTTACAGCAGGGAGTTGTGCAGCATCAGCAGCGGGTGTTTTGCAGCGAGTGTAGGACAGTAGATTGGAATGGATTGCGGAGTATGAAGAACATATGAATGAAAAAGAACGACTAAGTCAGAACTCTTCAATCAAACACACAAATGATAGTTAAAAGAAGAATTTGGAGTGAATAAATGGAGACAATTGAACATTGGATAAGTACATGGCACAGTGACAAGGGAGAAACGAATGTCCTTGGGTGCACAGTAACGGAATAAAGAAAAAAAAATTCGCCCGACGCCAGGAATAAGAAAAGACTGTTTAAACAGATGCACTGTTACACCCAAAAGGAACGTGAAGAAAGGGGATGATATCCTTGCTCGCGAACAAGCTCGAATATCTCGATCGTGTTGTGCATAAAATGCGTATGCGGTCCGTTTTATTCCATATCCTCCGCCTCCAAAAGTTGCAACTACCCTCTTCGATGCAACCGTGCATTGCTATTTGTCTTGGCGGACTGACACCTGTAACATTCGAAAACTGCGGCGTTGGTTCACCATATACCCAAACCCAGACCCGAAGACATCTCGACGTGCCAGGTGGTCAACAAAAGAGACACCAGTAACACAGTCGCGAGGTGATCAAAGTCGTTCCCTGCACGTAAAGGCACAAAGAGAAGTTCCCATCAGCTTTTTTTGTGAAAAGTCCAACATGTTTTGAATGTTTTGAATTAACATAAAAAGCTGCCCAATGCCAACCAACAAGACCGCACCAGAGAGATAAGAATAACAGAGAAGAACGAGACAAGATGTAAAGGAACAAATAGAAGGGGAAAGGAACGTGTGTGTGCATTATGGCGACGAAAGCAAAGAAAGGTGGTGGGAGAAGGCAAAAAAGAAAAAGGGGGGTGCAGGGTATGGTTAGGGTACTGACGGCATGAAGAAGCCAATTCTGGTTGGCTCTCAACCCATCTTGGCTGCATCCTTCTTCTTCTGTTTGCGGGGAGGCGTCACAGGACGACCCATGTTCACCCCGCCGTATGGATACTTGGCTTTCTTCTCGGCGGGTTTGAGAATCTATGAGAAAAATACGCATATTTCAGTACTTGAAGTCTGAGAGTGATATTGAATGACGCACTTGGAAAGAGCATAATAACGTTTCATCAACACTCATCATAGCTCCGGCATTATCGAATTCACCGCAGTAGTTGGGAGCGGAGAACAGTGTGACAAGATGTCGTTTAGCGAAGAATTCATAGCCGTCTTCCACGACCTAACAAAAGATATATTAGTACCTTTCATGAGTGGCACAGAATGGGGTAGAAACCGGCCACAACAGGTTCGATCTATAGGGGTGAGGTGATGTACCGACAGAGAAACATACCTGGTGTGCTCGGCAAATGAGATCCATATCGTGCTTTTGTAAGAATCTTGACACCACGTCTGGTCCGAAGGTGAATGATACACCCCGATCATTTTCTGACCAGCCAGTTATGTCTTTGTCTGGATCTGACCAAAGTAGATCGCATAACAGGCCTATATAATAAAACACAGAACAATTGTTCTCGTCATAATAGAATTATAGGGGGATGTGAACAGATATACGTACCAGTGTCGGGAACGTCAGTTGGGCGCATTACTCGCCTGATCTGTTCCATGGATTGGAGGTCAGGTGATAGACCCCCATGCATTGTGAAGATCTTTTCGTCGATAATGGCGGCGATGGGGAGGCAATTGAAGCAATCGGTGAACGTTTTCCATAACTTGATGTTGTACCGGCGTTTGCCTGGACATGTGTTCGCAAGCGAGGTGAGTAACGATGGTAAGAGGCGGTGCGTGTGGTAAAGAAATTCATGGTATGAGCACGGCAAAGGAAAAGGGAGTGACAAGATACGCACATTCATCGTAAAAGCCATAAATTCGATTGATGCTCGCACATTCATGGTTCCCTCTCAACACAAAGAAGTTCTCGGGGTACTTGATTTTGTAAGCGAGGAGGAGGCAAATCGTCTCCAGCGATTGCTTTCCACGATCTACATAGTCACCGAGGAAGAGATAGTTTGCTTCTGGTGGGAAGCCACCGTATTCGAACAGCCGGAGTAAGTCGTAATATTGACCATGGATATCTCCTGTTAGATAAGAACGTTGAGTGTTGAACGCAGAACGAAAAGGGTCTAACGAACCGCAAATCTTGATGGGGGCTTCGAGCTCTAGGAGGATGGGTTGGTTGATAAAAATTTCGCGGGCCTTAGTGCAGAGATATTTAATCTCATATTCTTGCAGTTGTACTGGCTTCCCTGGACGGTTTCCTCGCACTTTCATCGAGGAAGAGTTAGATGGGATGGCATGAGGACTCGGTGGATGATGACACGTTTTGAGAACGAAAAAGCTCACCTTCCAACAATCTGTCAATGACCGAGTCAAGATCGATCTCCGTCGCAGAATCCGCCATGTCTACTATGTTCACAAAAGGTCGTGAGTGCTATTCGTGAGGATGAGAGTCGTGGGTTCGTTGCTCTTGGAGAAGTTCGGAAAGTTGGTCGGGGAGATATGGAACAAGCTGGAGCGCAATGAAGATGAAAACTTGTAAAGTTTTGAGATGAACACTTGTAAAATGAAGGCGTCGGTCGGTCAGCCGGCTGCCAACACCGGTGTAGAAGAAGAAAAGGAGGAGTTGTTCACTGCGGCCGACGATGATAACGAGCGTTTGATGAAACAAGCTGCAAACCCTCAGAGGTCTGACAACAGCCACGCGCGGGCGGAGTTGACTCAGCAACGCTCAATTTTTTATTTTGAAAAAATACGGATTTCCTCTCTTAAAAATCCAGTGAGCTCGTTCTAGATTCCATCATGCATTTTCTGTCTCTTTCTCAAAATCAGCACCTTTTTTGTCCTTTCAACCTCGAAGTCCAACGGAAAGTTGCAGCTCGACGATATCTTCGAGATGCGCTTAGATACCTTCCTTATTTGGTCAGTTCTCCTGGAACTCAGCCGAACTCCGCCCATCGATACCGCAATTCAGCGTGCTAGACTCTTGTTCTCGCTCTCTACTCATGTCTGTTTCTTTTACTCGTCTGGACCATGCGGCGTGTTACATGTTACCGATGCGGTTTTGAAACGTCGGCGAAAACAAACTCTTCAAATTGCAGCTTGAAGATCCCTCGAAGGACTGCCGGAGGAGGCCGTCCAGTTAAATTATCTTCCTGCAGGATATTATAGGTCCATAGCAAAAGAGCATCTTCTACAGCCTTTTACAATCCAAAAAGATTCTTTCTAACCATTAGAAAATCAAAGGAACAAAACGACGCAGGCTATCAATCCACCCTCTATTATGTGATTTTGCGGAAGGACAGTACCATCGGGAAAGCAGAAATCTCTCAACTCTACTAGGATGCAGTTGATGTTCCGACTTTCAACGTCGAGGCAACGTGGACCTACCGCAGTTCTCCTGTCATGGGAGATGCTATTTCATCTGCATGAGTTCTGTCACCTTCAAGCCATGCATCTTATGGTATTCATATGCGTTATTCTTCCAGACACCCTCATCTGAGAGCACTTGACGAGTTGCCTCTCTGTTCACTTCATTGGGTTGATGTGCCTCACCACATACGAGTCGGACGAGGTTATAGGACGTATACAGCAACTTCACAGTATCGAAACGTACTTGGAAAACGGCGATGAGTACTACTGTCGAAGCTGGCAACCCGCAACCTGAAAACTACACCCTTTCTCGTTCACAGCATCCAAGGCATCCCCCTTACATTCAATGCTTAATGGTCCAATTGATGGAGAAAACTGTTCTCAAAGCAATCGTGCAGTCATCTGGAGCTAGGTCATCAAGTACACTCAGGTATAGCCGCGAAGGACACCACTTCTCGTCGATGCTGATCCACAACCATACCCGCCCACGCTATTGTTCTACGAGGAGGTCGAGGGTATAAGAATGTCATGGACTTCGTTATAATCCAGCGTGTCCAAATTCTCATCTAATCTGGTGGTGCTGGTTTCCTACGGAAGCAATCACAAGTAGAGTTTATCTTTCAGAACTCGTGAGGGCCAAATGTTTTCCAGACAGAAAATATAATCTATGGACTTTCACTGGTGCGGCAAGTACGCTATCCCCGCTCCATCTTTATGAATGGCGGTAAAGATTGGCATGAAGCTGTCTGTCGGGGAGATGGGATTAAGAAGTCGTCACCGTGTATGCGCCCTAGGTCTTTGTTGGAGCACACGTATGTATTATTTCACCGAAAGATGTATAATATATGCTCGCTGGAAATATTGATGTGTCTATTATCTATGTGGTTCAGATGGCTCCCGCGATAAGTTTGCTATCTTGCAAGGAACGAAATGGACTTGAACTGGACTGAACGAGATTTTTTGAACCTGGTCCTGGCAAAAGTGAAAGAAAAAACAATGCCAGGACCGTGGATTGAACACAGGACCTTTAGAACACGAAGGCTCGGAAGAGCACCCTTCAGTCTACTGCTCTCCCAGCTGAGCTATCCCGGCAACGTAAATAAATCAGTTGTTATATGTTGAGACATGTAGTAACGCCAGTCTATAACCTTGGCTCCCTCCCTCCCTACTGATCCAATGAATCCTGAACCTTTGGATAGTATGGATACTAGATCATGTACCAACCAGAGGCCTAGAGGAAAACAGGTTTTATCAAAACTTCAGAGCTTTCGCTATGATCAAATAATCATCATCTTCAAAATCGACCTATCCGAATTTGATTGTTCCCAGAACCCTAATGATAGAAGTTAGAACTCGCCTCGAGTCTATCATACTCCTCTGAATTGATCCACAGCTTATACTTTGAGTATGTTAGATGATGTGGCCGTATCATTCTATCCCACGATACCTTCTTTTTTTGGACAGAACCAGCAATGAGCCTTGAGTATCGAATATTTAAGATGAGAGTCCCAACCATGCAACAGCCAGTATATATGTACTACTATGTAGGTACAAAGAACATATGATAGAGATTCGCTGTTACTTATAATACTATACAAAATTTACAATATATCGACCGGAATCAAACCAACGTAATCAATTATGACAACGACAAGAACTTGAAGAGAAAAGCTTGGTGTTGGCCGTTGAAATCAATTAATGTCAACAACGTCTTGGCCTTTTTAAATGGAGGAACTCCGGTTATGATATGATGTTGTGATAACGAAGTTAGATGATGCCCGAGTCAAATTCGATGGGTAATTGGATGAAGAAGAACAAAAGAAAACAACGAAAGAAAGCATGTGAAGAACGAAGAATCAAAAGAGAACGACGGAAGAAAAATGTCTGTTATGCGAGGAGAGGAGGGACTGGGAAGAATTCAAAGTTGTGAGTGAGTTGGGAAGAAAGACGATGCAACAATAAACATTGCAATTGCGTAGTAACAATCCAGACTAACAATCTGAAAATTGGATAATGCGAGGTCCGTTGATAAAAAGCAAACCTAGACGACAATATCAAGAAGTTGGGAAGCAGGATGAATGAAACGAGAAACGAGTGTGCGATAAAAAGACTGTACGTCTAAGGATGCTGCGTGCTACAGAAGAGAGAGTCTGACAGGAACAAAGACAAAAAGAAAATTAAGTCGAGATCGATGAGTGTGCATGATTGTGGGTGATGCGTACGGTACGATAAAAATGCAAAGATATGTGTTGATGTTGGTGGAGGAGTCTCTAGCTCTAACGTAAGCGGGAGGGATATGAACATAGGATAACAAAGCAAAGTTCGGATGATAAGCATGACAAGTATGAAGAGGAGATCCGGGAAAGTGAGACATTAGAATAGTCAAAAATCCAAGACCGAGCGATTCCTAACAATTGAACTTGCATTTCAGCGTATGGATGAGACACAGCATTTGAGACGAGACAAGGAATAAAGGTTTAATTCTTCATGCATGAGACATTGCAACCGGGAATCCGCCATATTAGTGCAATGCATCGTGATCGTACACCGTCAGGAATCACTTTGATCGATGACTCCAAAACTTCCAGTGTAGTTTCCTCGACTTGTGTGAAGAGGGAGGAGAAGATAACGGTGTAGTACTCGCCGCACTAGTATGAGTACTTTCTGACCGCCCGCTTCCAGGAGGTTTGGTTGGGCTCGGAGGAGATCCATGTTCAGACCCACTCTCGTCCGAATCAGGAGGCGTAGGCAGCATTCCTGCGCTGACATGTCGTTTACCATGACACGAGCTGTTCGGATTGAGGGGTGAGTGATGTGACCGTGCACCAAAACTCGAAGATGTTGTTAAATTTGATAACGTAGAGTGAGACGATGAGAAACTGTCCAGATGTGGCGGCTGATGCGGCATCGATTGAGGTCGTAACTTGGATCCTCTATTACAACCCTGAAGAGCAGGCGGAGGTGTTTCCGGAGGTGTAACGAGAACATCAAACGATGGGATATCATCCGAGACAAGGACAACATCAGATGGACCTGAAATCCAAGCGCGAGGGTTTACGCGCGGTAATATACCATCGTCTAATGAACCACTGAAAATCAAGTCTGCTATTGAGCATTCCGAAGGCCAGGGTATGTACGGAGAATTGGATGGACCAGAAGAATCGTTCAATGTCATTTGACCCAACGTGTGGACATTCATAATGTACGGACGCGCGCGCTCCATGTCAGTGTCAGCGTTGGTGTCCGAATACGCGTAAGACAGAATAAATGATTCAAGACCTTGCACAAGCATTGTCCGGGACACGGGGTTAGAAGACCGGTCTGGAGGTAACAGATGAATGACATGAGATTTCGTGGGAGGAGAGGGTAACTGGTTCACAGAGTCGCCGCTTTGAAATGGTGGTGTTGGAGGCAGGTAGACCGACGAGGAGCTCCTAGAACTGAAAAAACCACTTAGCCGTCGTGGTTTGTGGAACACCTCGGCCGGTCCAGAGGACGCTGCCAAAAATGGTCGACTGATGGTTGTGGCTAAGATGGCCTGTTTGAGCAACGCCTTGTCAGACGTGCTAGCAGGGAGGTAGTTCACGAGAGCGTCGAATGGTCGTTGCGACGGGTCAATGGAAGGTGTAGATGAAAGTAACGGTCTACTAAGAAACCGGGCTGACGCCGAACGCGGCCGAGGGGAAGGAGTTTCATCAGCAAGTTGTACTGACGATGACCGAGGGGATGAAGGAGTACTCCGCGAGCCATAGAAGCGGAGGGATGAAGGAGGCGCGAGATGTGTGTGACCGTCTTCATTCTCGTTCAGCTCCACTGAGCCATAACCGCCGTGTTTCCTCCAGACACGTGCGACTCGCTCTGCCCACTCGAGGACGTCGACGAAGCGTACAGCACCTGCATGCTCAATAGCTAACGGTTCCTTGAGCTTGAGGATACGGACAGTAGGTAGTGTAGTGTGTGGTATTTGCGGTGTCTTGTGCGTAGCAAGAATAACAAGGGAGTTCGAGAGGTGTTTGGAGAGCAAGAGAGGGGTCAACTCTTGCTGGCTGGGGGCTAAAACATTGATTTATAACTACATAAAATTGCATTTCATGCAGAACATACCTCCGAGCACTAATATAACATCCCGCCTGGCCTGCGACGCCACCAGCGAAGAGAATCTATCGCTCCTCAGATACCATGGGTCGCGATGTTTTGAATTTGGGGTGGCAAAGGGGTCTTTGGGGAACTTTGGCCTGAAGACGTCTGTTGGCTGGCGGGATTGCCTGCGAGAAGAGGAGGCCATTCGAGTTAGAGGTTGGGGGAGAGAATATTTACGGGGAGCATGGAAATAAAAAGTGAAAAGCAAATACTTTATGAAAGGAATTGTCGTCATATCATCAGTCCAAATCCGGCTTCTCGGCTGACTCCCGAATATCCCGACCGACCAAGTTCGGCTTACCCTCCGGACAAGGGCTGATCCCCGACAGACGCCCATTTTGCCAAGCTTGAATTAATATTTGTACCTTTGCTTCCTCCTTCAACCATGTCTATTTACAACAAATCGCGAAAGACTCATCGTGAAAGTCAGAAAGACTTCAGCGATGTGTTGGAATTTGTGCGTATTGGAATCATCTCACTGAAACTACCGCACACTGAACGTAGCGGCCGCTGGAGTACTAACTTGAAAGTTCGTACATGTACAGGAATTTCGCATACGCTCATGCATCTATTTTTTTCCTGTTTATTATCTACTGCACATGCATCTATACATCACGAAAGTAACCCTGAATCGTGAGTGCCACTTCTCCACAAACTGCCTATCATGTTCAACTGCTACACGTTTTGCTAGAGCGCACTTCGAAGGCTGACTTTGCTTTGCGAAGAGTGCGAAGTTTAAACCGGATTGAATAGAAGACAAACCGACAACTATCATCAAACGTGCATCTATTCCTCGTCTTATCAATGTGGCATGATCCCTTACGGAGTTACACGAATGGGGACAATAACACTACCAGTTTACTCACAAGGTTCGTGAAATTCCCTCCCAGAAAATGGTTAAAGCTTCCTGGTATCTTCAGTCGCTCTTTTGGCTGGAAAAACTATAGGCTCAGTTTTCAGCCTCTAGTAGCATGAAGATAGTTGTTCCTTACTATAGAGGCTGAGGTCTACTAGGAGGGCGCTCGGAGGCTGACTTGATCAGGAGATCCTTTCAACAGTATGCATGCGCCGTAGAGCGCTGTATGGTAAGGGCGGTCTCATTGCTTTTTCAAGGACCTGACGCTAGCAACCGACCCTCTGTGGAGAATTACTCTCCATGTGCCGTACCGGGCTTTCGCATACCTCTTGGGTCAAGCATCGATGGTTTGACTCTGGATAATTGGCTTCTTTCAACAGCGGGACGGCTCAAGTATCGATATCCGAAGTACACAACCAGCTGTACTTACCTTGGTAGCTATAGATTGCAGTTGGTCATCATCAACTCGATGCTGCCAAAGATATGGAGCGCAGGTCAAGGTTGCCATTTCTATCACACAAGCGTTACAATTGATTGTCGAATATACTTTCGACTCTAACGCAAGCAAGAGTAAAGTATCGGTTGTGGCTTCGGGATTTGCTCATCGCGGTCTTCGAGATGCTTGTTCGCAAGATGCGTTCATGCCAAGCTTTTGGGTGTGGCAACACAATACAAAGGAACCGAGAAACACTGATCATTTCATACACCGGGGCCCCGTGCATCTTGTTGGCCTGAAATCGAGAGGAGCGACACTTTGGTATTCTTCTGGTGTGGCAAGGAAGACTCAGATAATTACGTTCACTTCGATCTCTACTTTCTATCTTCATTATCCAGGATTGACTTTCGGTTCACTCCACAGATATCTCTCGATGTTTTTGGTAAGACTGCAGTAAGTTTCAACTTCGAAAACGTTTGTCGATCCTGATGCCCACTTATTCGCTTGGTCAGAGATCGTCATCTTACGTCGTCGCCGACATCCTCGCAATCCCTTCGTATCAGTGGCAAGTGGTCACCGCAGCGTCAGCCACTCATAGACCAATGCACACCACCAATGGCACAATCCCTCGTTGAGCGACCTCTCCTCACGCGTCAACAT